AGACGAATTTTCCCTTCTGTTCGCCAAATGCGGTCGACCTTCTCATATTCGTGGTCGACCGCATCTGGCTTTCAATCGATTTTTCCTTTTGTTGTATAGACTGAGGTCGACCTATGATGATATTGAGGTCGACCTGTGAAGTTTTGCTACGATATTATTTACATCTATAGCTTGAAAAGAAGGATTTTGTCCTTCTGTTTGCCAGATGAGGTCGACCTTTTCATATTCGTGGTCGACCGCATCTGGCTTTCAAATGATTTTATTTCTGTTTTATTTGTGCGAAACTAACACTGGTCGACCTCTTCTAATTATGAGGTCGACCGGATCTGTTTTGCACTCAATTGCTACGAGCATTTGGGCTAATTCGGACTCGTTTCAATTTAGTCGAGGTCGACCTATGATGGTTCTGAGGTCGACCTATGAAGGCAAAAGTTCGAGTTGTGCCATTGTCTCTGTTTTATTTGTGCGAAACTAACACTGGTCGACCTCTTCTAATTATGAGGTCGACCGGATATGTTTTGCACTCAATTGCTACGAGCATTTGGGCTAATTCGGACTCGTTTCAATTTAGCCGAGGTCGACCTATGATGGTTCTGAGGTCGACCTATGAAGGCAAAAGTTCAAGTTATTTGTGCCATTGTCTTTGAATTTGTGCGAAACTAACACCGGTCGACCTCTTCTATTTATGAGGTCGACCAGATCTGTTTTGCACTCAATTGCTACGAGCATTTGGGCTAATTCGGACTCGTTTCAATTTAGCCGAGGGCGACCTATGATGGTTCTGAGGTCGACCTATGAAGGCAAAAGTTCGAGTTGTGCCATTGTCTCTGTTTTATTTGTGCGAAACTAACACTGGTCGACCACTTCTAATTATGAGGTCGACCAGATCTGTTTTGCACTCAATTGCTACGAGCATTTGGGCTAATTCGGACTCGTTTCAATTTAGCCGAGGTCGAACTATGATGCTTCTGAGGTCTACCTATGAAGGCAAAAGTTCGAGTTATTTGTGCCATTGTCTTTGAATTTGTGCGAAACTAACACTGGTCAACCTCTTCTAATTATGAGGTCGACCGGATCTGTTTTGTACTCAATTGCTACGATCATTTGGGCCATTTCAGACTCGTTTCAATTTAGCCGAGGTCGACCTATGATGCTTCTGAGGTCGACCTATGAAGGCAAAAGTTCGAGTTATTTGTGCCATTGTCTTTGAATTTGTGCGAAACTAACACTGGTCGACCTCTTCTAATTATGAGGTCGACCAGATCTGTTTTGCACTCAATTGCTACGATCATTTGGGCCATTTCAGACTCGTATCAATTTAGCCGAGGTCGACCTATGATGCTTCTGAGGTCGACCTATGAAGGCAAAAGTTCGAGTTATTTGTGCTAAACTTGTTGAGGTCTACCTGTGATGATATTGAGGTCGACCTCGGGCCATTTAAATCGATTGAAAGCCAGATGTTCATGGGGAGTGCAGTGCAGGACATTAGGCCACCTTGTAATTCACTCGAAGACACAAACGTCTGCTGCCTTCACCGAGTTCTCCTTTGCTTGTCGGTGACCGGCATAGGGTTGCAAAGGATAACTCGGTGAAGGCAGCAGACGTTTGTGTCTTCGTGTGCATTCCAAGGTGGTCTAATGTGCTGAACTGCACTCCTGATGAAAGTCATATATGGTTTTCAATCGATTTAAATTTTCCGAGGTCGACCTATGCTTCTTCTGAGGTCGACCTATGAAAGCAATTTTGTACTTGAATTGTTACAGGTTTATGTCGACCCATTCTCATTTTAAATTAGCTGAGGTCGACCTATGCTTCTTCTGAGGTCGACCCATTCTCGTTTTAAACTAACTTAGGTCGACCTATGATTCTTCTGAGGTCGACCCATTGTCGTTTTAAATTAACTGAGGTCGACCGCTTTATGGAGTGGTCGACCGCGTATTGTTCATTTCGAAAATGTGACTAACGTGTATTCTTGCTTGTTTGATCGCAGGATGTTTGGCGGCAGAAAGAAAAGAAAGGCACAAAAAGCTGCTGCCTCAAGTTCGGAATGGGAAGAGTTCAATCCGAATCTGTTCCAGACCAAGGAGCAAAGTGAGAACTATGAAGAGAAGAGAATGCACAACCGCAGGGTGGCTCCGGGAAGGCCATTGACGACGGATGCGTATTCTCATTTCGAGAATTACGGGTTTTTGGGACCCTTCATCGAGCAGGAGTGGCTGAAGGTGATATCACTCAATGTACCATACTACCCAAAAATGGTACAATACTTCTACAAAAACATCGTCTACGAGCGCAATGCAAATGGATCCATTCACACATTCAAATCCTATATGAATGGGGTGGCGATGCGCATCAGCAAGAATGTGTTGGCGCAAGTACTGGAGGCTCCAAACGAGGGGAGGAGAATCAATTCTTACGGTGCTTGGAATGAAACGCATTTCACGAGAGCCAAGCAAATCTAGACGGTATGTGGTCTTGATGAAGAGGAAGATGCTCAGGGGCGCAATAGGCCAACGAGTAACCACCTGACAGTTCAAGCCAGAGTTCTTCACCACATGCTCTCCTACAACATTCTGCCAAAGGGTGGACATCGGGAGACAGTCACCTACTTCGACATGGAGCTCCTCACCAACCTACTGTTAAACGAGAAGGTGAACTTGCCATACTTGATCTTTAACCACATGCTTACTGCTGCAGAGAGTTCAAACAGGAATCTTCCCTATGGGATGATCCTCACTGTGATATTTGAGTATTTTAATGTGAATTTAAGTGAAGAGGTGGGGTTAAGAATCTCAAGGCAGGAGTTCTATACTGTTTCATCTCTAAAAAAGATGGGCTTTGATCTGCGTAATGGTGAGTATGTCAGAGTAAACAATGCTCATGGTGGTGATGATGATGATGATGAGGATGATGATGGTGATGAAGGACCTCGAGACGAGCCAATGGCGGAGGCACAGACTTCAACTCCACCGATCACCTTACAGCGTGTGGGAGCGCATGGATGGCATGTACGAGTACATGGGCCAGATGTCCACCCAGATGACTGGCATGTACGACTACATGGGGCAAATGACCGCCCAGATGAGCACAATGCAGGTGACCGTGAATGAGATGCGAGATGAGTGGCGATCTTTCAGCGGAAGATACATGCATCCCACCACATCCGACCACCATCATGCTAGCACCACCAATGAAGAAAATGAAGAAAATGTGGATGAGGGAGAGGGAGAGGGGGGGGGGGAGATGAGTAGGAGAGAGGAGATTTTAGATTGTGTGTTTTAGTGGTCAAAACGATTGTTGATTGTTATTCTGTTTTTTTTTAGTTTTATTTTTATGTGTGAACAATTATGATTTCTGTTTTATTTTTAGTTGTTATGCTATGAATTGATGAGTCCTTGTTATCATTATTTATGACTAATTATGATGGTTTGAAACATAATTTATACGATCAAAAGAACCACACAAATCGACATACATAAGCAAAAAAGACACAAGGCATAGGTTTTCTTGTATTCGGTCGACCTCGTACCGGATTAGGTCGACCGCGAAACCAACACTTGATCTTCATTTTACGTCAAATGATTGGACACTTTGATAGAACACTTATCTTCTATCTGGTTGACCTCTTTCCTTATCTGGTCGACCATTTTGTTAATGACCGCCATCAAGTGGTCGACCTATATACCTTAGGTGGTCGACCATGTTGTTTCTGACGCCAACGGAATGGCCGACCGAGGTTTTATTCTGGTCGACCAAAAATAACAACTTAAACTAAGTGCGGTCGACCAGGTGGTCGTTGAGGTCGACCGCAATGCTTTCTCGTGCTGCCCAAATTAGTCAATTCGGTTGACCGCCTTCAGGAATAGGTCGACCGAAAAGTGCATGTCACCGTGACATGCATGTCATAGTAGACATACCCTAATTTTAATCCCAAGAATAAGATTTTGTTTCAAAATGAAAATTATGAAAATAAAATCTTAATGGTGAATGACTCAAATTCAAATAATTTTGTGCCAAAAATTTAAAATCTTGTTATTTAGAAGTAAGAACTTTAAAAATTACGAAGTGGTTGTTTTTACTATAACTCATTTCAAATAAGCATACCTAGCTTATAACTAAAGAAAACGTAACTGGTTTGTATTTTGATTCTCTACAGTTTGATTGAGTTTATATTTATTGTTGTTTATATTTTCTGCTAATATCTATCCATGTTTTGAGAAATAGTAGACGTTTATTTATTACTAATAAAAAAAAGGTATTGGTGAATGTGGAGGATGACCGGAAAATACAAAAGAATTCAACGTATCCATTTTTTTTATAACTTTTCAATATTTCAGCTTCTGTTCAAAAAAGCAATATTCCGGCCTAAATCGACAGCCCAACAGAATGAATGTCTACCCAAACACTTTCCATTTCCTCAGCGGTAAATAGCAAATCATTCTCATTTAGGTTTAGGCAATGAAAAGAAAAAGGCATCAAATCAGCGGTCGAGAGAAGATAAGCTTTGAGATTGCTGGCGAAAAGGAAGCTGCTGAGCCGCCGAGTTCATCACACAAAGGTGAGCTGATATTGTTCTTAATAAATCATCGTCAGGGGTTCACCGATGGTGGGTTTGTTTATCGATCGAATAAGATATTGTGGCTGTTAGGTTAGATCGAAAGCCCAAAAAGAAGAAGGGAAAACAGGGGGGATGAGAAAGGGAAGATCGGACGGAGAGCTGAAGCAGAGAGAAATCGTGAGTAATCTTGTGTCATTCTTGAGATAGATCGAACATGCAAAAGTTCAAAATCATATTCATCCACATTCCACTAGCCCACTCAAGAAACCATAAACTTGTATTTTTTGGGTGAAAAACCTAGGTCTAAACTCTAAGGCATAGCCATACATCAAATCTCAAAACAACAAACCATAGGTCATAGAGCAAGTTTAAGTTATAAAACGTACGACATTGATTCTAAAATACTGGTTATTACAAAATCTTGAGTGGGGATGTTGTCCTATTACTTTTTCTTGAAAATCTTGATTCCTTTCCAACGGGACTCCATGAGATGAGAATCGTCATCCTGAGCATAAACTCCAAACTTGAAGTAGTGAGACTTGCCGCCGTGATCGGGTCCTTTGTACACAAGAGATCTGTCAATGTAGACCATAACTTTGCCAGCATCTACATTGTGAATGACGTTTAACCTAAACCATTTGTTATGAATGTTGGGAAGGATTTTGGATCTGTAGACGGCTAGATTATCGCCATAGACTCGAAGCATTAGAGTTGTAGCGTGCCCACTTGCTCCAAATACTTGCATTATGCAGACACCAGAGGTGCCGCCTGGGACGAACCCTTGCCCTTCGAATTGCCACACTCCAGAGGAGTAATCATATCCCTGTCCACCAAAAATTTGGGAAGGATCGATTACAACAATCCGAGAAAAATTATGAAAAATGCCCAACTTCTAAGACTCTAATAATAAATACAACTCTGTCAAATTATATAATAATACTCGTAATATTGCATACTCTAAGAGATTATTAATTGGTAGGTTCCAAGACATATAAATAGGTATATGTATGATGCCAACTTCTATTTGTATCTAGGGTAAATCTAGACTACTGAATACCATTTGTAAGAAATGCTATCTAGAATTTGAATTAATTAAATTTTAAGACATGATACTATATCCTCTTTAATGAGTGAATCCTAAGTCCTAATTTTCTAAAGTGCACACCTGAACGCTAAAAATATGTTGTGACCTCATATTTACCCATAAAATTCCCATATAAATCATTAGGATTCATCAAGATAAATATGAATTTGTTATTTAATTTTATACACCATTCCAATTGAATTAACGATATATTATGATCAAATGTTAAATATAGCATGCTCACAGAGATTGGAAATACTCATAAAAAGAAAGTAATCCATAAAATGATGATGAGGAACTAGAAATCGATTCCATTAGAAACGTATCGAAATGGAAATTCGTTGTTTCATGTATATGCATGCATGGCTGGTTTGGTTGGCTTACAGCGATACGGACTTCGGTGCGAGGCCTGGTGTGGCTTTCCTTAAAGTGCGGCTTGTCGTTGGAGTAAACCTTGAGCGTGTGAACGCCATTTTCAAAGCTGTAACGCTCCCCTTTTTGCAGGTCATACGGCCACTGAACCTTCATATGCGATGCAGTCAGTGGCAGCGCCACGAACCCTCTCGTCGGATCACCCGCATTTCCACCTCCTTCAGCCAGCAGCAACAGCCACGAGAAGAAGAGCAGAAGAATAGCAGAGATCGTCGCCCGGAAACTGCTTCCATAAGCTGCTGCTGCTGCTGTACTTTTAACGACCATTTAACTTGAGGTATATTGACAAGTTTGAACTGCTGAATCAGTCATCTATATATGGAGTTTGGGTGGTGAACTTTTGGTTAGTTAGTGGTTAAGATCATAATTAATTTGCTATACCTTGTGTTGTCGCAAGGCATGGAGCTAGAAGGAGGGAGAGAGTATGTGGAGTCGTACAGGACTGCTGTTCCTTCATTCGGATTCTTGACTGCTGAAATGATTTATATATGTCTACATACAGCCTATAAAATTACAAATAGAATCTTTGAAGCCGTCTGATTGCATGTGTATATATAAGTACGTGTGTATATATATGTTGGATGAATTGTGGAATTAGTTTAAGATGTACGTTTGTGATACTGTCTCGCAATGCTCTTGGTTTGTGTGGAAAATTAGAGATTTCTGAAAAAGTATTTTCTTCTATCTGTATCTGCTCTCAAATTCGTATTTATATGGTATGAGAGGTCTGTTATGTATAGGAGGAAAACTTCCTGAACTTTCCTTTTTTTATTGGGGATCAGTCATAAATCACACATCGTTAAAATGATCATGTGCCCGGCCCGTTAGCCGGAATATTCGATTTTATATATGATTTAATTAACTGTGGCAAATTAAGTTTTTCCAATTATTTTTCAATAAAATGTTTTATTCATCAAATTTTTCAAACTCTGGCCATAGTATGAGCATGTTCATCACGATATTCATACCATCAATGAAATTCTTTTGCATGTGATTTATGAGCACTTCTACTATGCTATATAGCATTAGTGCTTTAATGTACAATTCAAAGTTGTACCATAACATTAAATGTATAAGTTTAGGTTGTACCATAAAGCAATTTGTACCATTATGTTATGGTACAACTTTACAACTTGAAGTTGTACCATCACATAAAGGTACAAGTTCAAGTTCTACCATAAAAGAATTTGTACATAAAGTATAGGTACAATCTAAAGTTGTACCATAACGTAAATGTACAATTTTAAGTTGTACCATAAAGTCAAAAACCTATAGCACCAATACTATGTAGCATTGTAATATTTCTCGTGATTTATGTCATTAGATTCTTATAACTTTTGCGAAAAGGAAAAATTACATAGTTTCTCATAATCTCAATCTGTATCATTTGCTCTCCTTAAATCCAAAAATCATAAGTACATTTTGAACGAATACATGAATATAAGCTACCTTTGAGTACGAAACTCATATTTGTGTGTTCTTCCCTATTTTTTCAAAAAAAAAAAATATATATATTTCCTCGTGTAATGATTTATGTGACATTAGTTTAGGCTCAATTAATTCAACGTGGACAAAAAAAAATACCATACGCATTCATTTCTTTGATTTTTAATGCTTTCATTTTTTAAACTTTTGGAATTAACCCTTAATCATTAAATCACAAAAAAAATTAGCTTGCTAATGTTTTGATCATATAAAAATACGTCTCACCAAAATAAAAATCATATAAAAATACTCGATTACTAAATTATTCTCTCAATGCTAAAATCAAAAGGATGTATTGTATTTGTGCCCCGAATCCTGACTCTATAAATGGCTAAACAGATTGTTGTCAACGCATTTAGAGTTATTGAAAGTCAATGAAGATTATACACATTATATCTGAACCGAGAATATGACCCAATTCAAAAACAAGGTGGTCTTTACTAAGAATATAGCTAAATTAAAAATGAACTAAATATAAATTAAGACATAAATAAAAGTGATTATCAGCACTATTCTTGTATGTTTAATTTTGTATTATTGATATTATAGTTTATAAATTAGCTATATGATCCATAACCGGACTCTGTACTCGATAAGCATTTTGGAGTTTCTACCACACCATCATGTTAATTATATACTAACATCACACCACTTTATTTTATTTTATTAAAAATCTTATTTTGTAGCTGCATTTTCATAACAATTTGTCCATGAGAAGTAGTTTACTGAATGCTTAAAAAAACTCAAACAATTCAATACAATAACCATTAATGTGGAATTCATAATAAAAAGCACATTAATAAAGTTTACAGATGGATCATAAAAAATCATAATTAAATAGTAATCCAAAAAAATAAAGGAAAGTGTTGCGCAAAAAAATATAAAAGATTAAAAAAATATAATATATTTAATTTACATCTTTATTTTATTTTCATTTTTGAATTATAATCAAATGATATTCCAAAAATTATAGGTAAGCGTTGCATAAAAATATTGTTTTAATTTGAATTCATATTATTTATTCCCCCGACCTCTTCTCTCTCCCAGCTCTTTGTATACACAATCGAAAATTATTTATTTTCCTATTTGATTTTTAACGGACGATTTCTCTATCGTTTTAAGTTGAAATTTTTTTTTTGCACAGATAAATCGGATTAATTATGCTCTTTAAAATGATATCCACTTTAATATATTTTTAGAACAAAAAAAATTGAGTCGTTTTTTTACTATTTAATATCATATGGTATACTCCTATTTAATACATATGGCAAGAAAGTGTACCATGATGTTATGAAAAAATCTCAAAATATATTAAAAAATTGATCTCATTTTGTAGAGCACAATGAACTCGTTCCATTTGAGAAAAATAATTGAAACCCTAGTTAGAACGAATAAGATAAGAGTCGATTAAGAAAATTAGGGAAAATAAAATGTCTTTAATTCACAACCCTTAAATCTGGATTTTCTGAGCCTAATTAGATCTAAATGGTTACTGACCGTATCGCAAGCCCCCATTTTTGTAATTTTTAATCAAATTTTTGGTAGTTAGTAAAGACTCTTTTCTTTCATGATGATTTAGGATTTTGAGACTAATTTTAACTTTAAAAAACATTCATCCATTTTCAACAACTTCACTAACTATATATTTGCTAAAACTATTAATACACTTTATGATTATCATCTTAAAGTGATATGGTCAGGTTTATACAAGCTTTTGACCTATTGAGAACCTGTCGTAGTCTATCATTTTGAACAAATTTATCACTACTAGGCACTAGCTAGTTACGTATGGTAATAAACTAAATTTACTGTCGGATCCCTCACGTTAATAATTTTGATCATTTAATTAATGATTCTTGTACATGAGCAGTAGAAAGATCCACTGTTTTGAATCGTCACGTAATTTTATTTTAATACGTAATTTTACTATTTATAGTCCTGCCAAACCGTAATTAGTAAAGTATATTGTTGATTAAGGTGCGTATGAAGCAAAATTTGATCTCATCTTTTAAAAAAAGCAAATGGATCTCATAGGCGGCTTTTGATTGCGTATATTTCTGCTCGATCGGTATTAAGGAATAAGGAGAGCTGGCTGTAGCATATTTAAGTTAGTTGGACCATATCGATGAAAATTGTAACTATATACCGGTAAGTAACTATCGAGATCGACATAGAAATTTAGGTGGTTTCACTTGAACGAGACTAGTCCATAGTCGAAATTATTGTTTCTCTTATTACATTTAACTTCAGTGAATATCGTTGACACATAGGCATGGTTACGTTGTCATGTCAGTGGCATGCCAACCGGTTGAACCTGGTTCAACTGGTGTTGGTCATGAAACAAGCATGAACACTACTTGTATGACCGGTATGATCGATTTACGAACTCTTAGTAAAATGACGTCGTTTTATTGAATTTAATTAATGAAATTGATTTTATTATATATTTTATGAATATAAATGTTAAAATTTTATATAATTTGTTGAATTTGGGTATAAACGTTTAAGTATTTATGTTTATTTAAATATGCATATTATTATTTTATTTGGAATGTCGAATTTTATTAACCCGGCATGAACATGCACAAATCGGTTGTACCACTGGTCGTACCATTCCACTCAATAAACCGGCAAAACAATATAAACCGATTTGACAACCTTCCACACGAGTACAGGTAGTCCATTGGTTGGGGGCTAAGATGTAAGATCAGGTGACTAGCGGGGTCCCTTAGTCATATGACTAAGTTAATCTCAACCATTGAACCTCAGCTCCAATTGATATCTTTTAATGAAGGATAGTAAAGTAATAACATTATTTAATTATTTAGCAATTAAAAAATAAAAACAAGTGGCCAACGCTTTTTGGGAACTTCCCCGTCGTTGCTACCGACGCTATTATTCTTCCCTGCCACGTGAATTTCCTGGAACATTTTCCTCCACAAGAGAGAGAGAGAGAGAGAGAGAGTTCCGATCAGCTTTACTGACGACGGCGGAGGAGACTTTCCGACGACCAGAGACGGCTGGGAGGAGGATTTTCCGGCGATAGTGCTGGATTTCGTGATGTTTGTCGACCTATGTTGTAATATTTATAAGTTCAGTTTGTAATGTTTATATCAATTTGGTTTGTATTGTTTATTATTCTTGTTTGTAATTCTTGTATATTATTTTTGTAATGTTTATATGAATATTATGTAAAGTCAGTATGCTTTGTACTATTTGTCGGGTTCTTTTGTAATGTTTGTAAGTTTTGTTACTTTGTAATGTTTCTAGATTTATTTTGTTATGTTTGTAAGCTTTGTTATTTTTGTTCACTATGTTTGTCATTTTTGTCACCCATGTTTGTAATGATTTTTATGCTTAAAAAACAACCTAGTTGACTTTTGGATGAAACTCCTCAATATAGAAATGAAGCCTCCAAAGTCAACACAGATGTTTTTCCATTTTGTATAGTTTGTCGGTCTAGTTTGTCATTTTTGCCCATCATGTTTGTAATATTTGTATGTAAAAAAAAACAATTGGGTTGACTTTGGGATGAAACCTCTCTATATAGGGATGAAGCCTCCAAAGTCAACCTGGTTGTTTTTTTCATTTTGTATGGTTTGTATTGTTTGTCAGTCTATTTACCATCCTTTTGCTTCAATTGTGGAAGGGTAGGGCACTTCATAAGTGAATGTACCTTTTGAAACCCCAGCTGGCAAGGAGAAATTTGGCCCTCACATGTCCACCAAGAAGCTGGGTATTCGTCTATATGACTCGGATGATGATGCTCAACAGTTCCGTGG